AGCAGATATTAGAACGATTGTAAACTTTATCACTGTTTTCACCATCAAATTGTAAATGTAAATCACATTCGGGTTACCCTTGTAACAGAGGAAGGCTGGTAGAATGTTATGGCCCTGATCTGGTGATGGGTACGGTGATGGAGAGGCGCTATGTCAATGGGGGTCCTGGAAATGGTGGCAGTGGCAGTACTCATTCTGGCCTTATGCCGAGCTCAAACGTGCCTTGTTCCAGAGGCAAGAGATCCATAACCAAGTATTGCTTAGCTTAGTCCATGGCAATCCCGATAGCTATGAAGGTGGGTTACAGATGATTTAAGGATGAAGTTCTTCCGTTGACGGTCAACCTGTGGGGAAGACACCTCCCACCTAAGACAGGGGTTCAAGGACCCCCAAAGACAGGCAAGAGAGGGTGACCCTACTTGACCTAAGCCAGGAGTGCCTCATTAAAAAATTAAAAAGGGGGAATTGTGGGGATACCAGACCTTGAGCAGAGACCCACTTCCCCATTGGCCTGGGAGTAGGCAGCTGTAAGACAATGTTTACTGAAAACATGTTTACTAAAAGCAATACAATGCCAAGGGCAATAAGTTCCTGAAAAGGGCTGGCCCACGGCAACCGCCCTGTGTTCGACCTTTTCCAAAGACTATTCACCTCTTCAGACCCACCCACCTCCACCTCTGGTGTCAGGGTATATAATAACCAGCCAGAGTAGGAATAAAGGAGAGCCTTCTTGAGGAGCCTTCCGATCTCTGTGTTGTCAATCCCCGACACCCTCTGCACATTCTCAGACACAGGCAGCTCAGCGGACACAGCAGCAGGCAGTGGAGACAGTGGGCCATTTTCCCTCAGAGTCAAGCATGGGACCTTGAGGACAGCATCTGCAGGTCTAAGGCTGGACTATGCCTTTAGGGTCCTTGTCATAGCTACAGCTGCCCACAGTACTGGTATTTACTCCCTTGGGTCCAAAGAGAATTCCATAGCAAGGCTTGTGGCAGTAGGGCTGGCCTTCATTCTCAGCATAGCCGCCAGGGGTCAGTGTCTTGGAGCAGCACTCCCAGAGCAGTAAGAGCTGGTGGCAGCGGGTCACCTTCTCAGCAAAGCACACTCTCTTGTTGCATCGCAGACAAATATTGTGTACCCCCAGTGAATGTGGTGACACTAGAGTCTTTGGTGGGACCGTTGGGGGTCTGCTGGTCTTCTGTTCGCACCACAGGGACCTCAATGGGGCCAATGTTACCTGAGGCCTGAGGCTCTCAGTCAGAGGCTTCTCTTAGACATAGGAACCAGCATGCCCTATATTCACGCCTTTGGGTCCAAACAATGTGGCATACACAGCAGGGTTTGTGGTAGAAAGGTTTCCCATCATGCTCAGCATGACCCGGGAGGTCAGCGTCTTGTTGCAGCGCTCACACATGAGACAGAACTTGTGCCAGTCCTTGCCCAGGGAGCTGACCTTCTCAGAAAAGTACAAGGTCTTGTCACAGCTGGGACACTTGGAGGCCATGTTTGGCGCGCTCGGTCGGCCTGCGCCCTCCACCCGCGCTGGTCTCTCCTTCAGTATATATCTTGATTACACCTATTTCAATACAGTATCTCAAGTCTTAGCTAAAGTAATAAGAGAAAGGAATAAGAGGGATACAGACAGGAAGAGTCAAATTATTCACATGTGCGATGATATGATTCTATACATAATAGATTATATAAGAAAACTTGTAGATTTCACAAGTACTTGCAGGAAAATGGCAGGATACAAAATTATCACACAAAAATCATTAGATGTACAAATAACAAACGTGTTGAGAATTAAATCAAGAAAACAACCCCATTTTCATTTGTCTTAAAATATATTTTAGTGGCTAAACAAATGGTTCAGTGAGTAGGAGCACTTGATAAATAAGAAAAGGACCTAAGGTAGAATCCTCAGACCCTATACTTAAAAAGAAAAGGCAGGCATGGCTATGTGTTCATAAACTTAGCATTGTTAGGGACAGAGACAAGAGGATACTGAAGCTTGCTGGTCAGCAGCTTAGCTGCAGGCTCAATTTGCAACCCAGTCTCAAAGGAATGGATGGACAGTGATGGAAGCATAAAAGATTCTACATAGTCAAAGAAATCTGAACATAAAAAAGAAAGCTGTAGGTGTCATGAAAACTGATTCCAGGTTATACATACAGCGGCAGGAACAAAGTAGCATGCTAATGGCACAAAAAGAGACACACAGATAAATGGAATAGAAGAGAGGACCATGATATAAACCCATGTGAATACAGCCAACTGATTCTAAAGATGTACAAAAGTGCATTGAAGAAAGGTCAGGGCTCTCATCAAATGATGCTGGGAGATCTGGCTATCCATATAAAGAAGAATGAAGCTAGATCCCTGTCTGTTAGCCTATACAAAAGTCAACTCCTAGTGCATCAGTGTCAGTGATATAATACTTTAAACTCTGAAACTGTCGTGATAAAAAGGAGAGAAAACACTTCAAGCACAAGCAAGGACTCCTGAGAAGGACTCTACTTGCTCAGAAAATAAGCATAACAGTCGACAAATGGCACTCATGAAATGAAGAAAGTTCCAAGCTGCGAAGGAAACAACTAAGACAAGAGGAAGCCGGAAGAATGGGAGGAAGTCTTTGCCAGCTGCATAGCAGACAGAAGCTTAATACTGAGGATGCTCAAAGAGTGAAAAGAAAAACCCTACAGAAATCAAACACCTCAATCAAAGCAATAACAGATAGTTCTTTCAATGGATAAAGCAAAATGTAAAATAAATGCGTGAAAAATTGTTCAACCTCAGTATCTGTGATGGTTAATATTGATTGTCAATATGGCAGGATCTAAAGTCACCACAGAAAGGAGCCCCTGGACGAGTCTGTGAAGGATTATCTAGATTACGTTAATTAAAACCTAACCCCAGGGAGGCATCATTCTGTGGCCAGAGTCCTGGTTGCATCAAAAGGAGAAAGGTAGAGGAACATCAGCGTTCTCTCTCTGTGTCCTAACTGGGAATCGGTGTGACTAGCTGCCTCACACTCCTGCTGTCGTGTCTTCCTCAACCTAAGTCTTCAATTTGTGAGCCAGAATAAATTCTTCCTCCCTGAAATTCTGCTTCAGATACTTTGTCACAGCAACAAGAAAAGAAATGGATGCATTGGTCATTCAGGAAATTCAAATTATTTTTGAGATTCCATCTAATTGTAATCATAATGGCAGTCTTTAAAAAAAGAGATACAGCCCAATGTAGTGGCACGTGCCTTTAATACTATCTATCATTCAGGGAGGCAGAGACAGGCAGATCTCTATGAGTCTGAGGCCAGCCTGGTCTACAGAGTGAGTTCCAGGACAGACAAGGCTACACAGAGAAACCCCGTCTCGAAAAAGCAAAAACACTTGCATGTGAGGTTCTAGTAGTACTTGCGTTCCTGCTTCATCTTCACACTTTCCTGCTTGTCCTGTAATGGGAACTGAGAGTATTTCTGAAGACCAAAAAAAAAAAAAAAAAACATATCGATCACTTATGCAATCTGCTTGCTTGATTTTTTTTTCAAGACAGGATTTCTGTGTGTGTAGTTCCGGCTGGCCTCAAACTCATAGAAATCCACCTGCCTCTGCCTCCCAAGTGCTGGGATTAAGGGTGTGTGCCACTGCCACCCATCTGCCATCTGCTTTCTTAAATAGTGTTCTCCGGATGAGTGGATTGAGGGTAGCAGATTTAGTAGAAATCAAATTTTGATCCTTACTCATCTCTTTTGTTCCAGAGAGAAGCTCTGTTGATTAGCTAGTGTGGGCCTTTTAATTCTTTGTTGCATTCAATCAATCAATCAATCAATCAATCAATCAAGCAAGCAATCAATCAATCACTTCTATTCTACCAAGTAGGTTCTGGGGATCAAACTCAGGTCATCAGGCTTGGTAGCAGTCACCTTTACTGTCTGAACCATGTCACCAGTCCACGTGCATTTTTTAAGGAGAAAATTGGGTTTCCATTTTCAGCTGAACTTATGAGCTGTGGATATTGCTCAGATACGTCTGTCTGTACTTTTTTAAGGAAAGCAAATATATTTTTTGAAAATAATTTTTCTCTCCCTGGGGATTTACTCAGGCTAATGAAGAGAGTTTTCCTTTAAGGTAGGACCAATATATCTCAATATTTAGCCATATCCTCTGTTATATCAACTGGCAATATATGTTTATCATTTGTTTACCAGAAAAGCAAACAATCTGGGGTATATGTAAAATTCTTAGTAGGCTGTAACAGATTAATAAGAGGTCTCCAAATCAGAGACTTCCTTTGCTTTTTTGAATATCTGCCTTCTCTGAAAGGCACATGATTATTGTGAAATGGTACCAAACTGGTGTATTTTGTGGGTGGGTGGGTTTCTAGACAGGGTTTCTGTCTGGCTTTGGAGGCTGTCCTGGAACTCGTTGTGTAGTCCAGGCTGGTCTGAACTCACAGAGATCCTCTTGCCTCTGCCTCCCTAGTGCTGGGATTAAAGGCATGTGCCACCACTGCCCAGCAAAATTACTGTATTTTTTTAGCCTACCTGCCACATGCATCTTCTATGCCAGTCCCTGAAACTGGCTCCCTAAACATTGTCTGTGCAATTCCTATTATTTGCACACTGCTGTTTTGTGTTTGGGATGTCTTTCTTCCGTTCACTTACTGCAAGCCCATATACTCATTAACATCACGTAACATACTAAACTTCCCTATTAATTAATTACTGAGTCAGTAGAAATGTTCGTATAAGGTCCCAAAGAGCAAAATACCTGGCCTGTTTATTCTTGAAGACATCCCATGCATTCATTGTGATTTTTTTAAGGTTTCAAAGATTTTATTCTGAGGCCAGCTTTTAAAAGCAAAAAATTTGCATATATTTTCAATTATCGATCAAATTTACATACAAGGTTACAACCACTTTTTTAGATGTGGTGGGTGGCTCTGAAAAGAGCCTTTGGGTTTAGGATAGTGCAATAATCAGGAGCCTGTGGAGTCTAAGTTTAAGAGTGCTCTCCGCGAATGCGACGAGCCAGGTGGATGTCTTTCGGCATGATGGTCACCCGCTTGGCGTGGATGGCACACAGGTTGGTGTCTTCGAACAGCGCCACAAGGTAGGCCTCGCAGGCCTCCTGCAGCGCCATCAGCGCAGAGCTCTGGAAGCGCAGGTCAGTCTTGAAACCCTGGGCTATCTCAAGCACCAAGTGCTGGAACGGCGCCCTGCGAATCAGCAACTCGGTGGTCTTCTGGTAGCGGCGGATCTCACGAAGCGCCACGGTGCCTGGGCGGTAGCGGTGCTGCTTCTTCTTCACTACGCCAGTAACCGGTGCAGTCTTGCAAGCCACATTCATAGCTAGCTGCTTCCGTGGAGCCTTGCCTCCTGTCGACTTCCGCGCTGTCTGCTTGGTGCGTGCCATCGTGAAGAAGCTCCTTTGTCCTCTGCTCCTCGAGTGTGCTAAGTGCCTTGAGGGCTCGGCTTTTATAGAGCCCACTGCATTCCTATTGGTCGCCCACCAGGTGTCGTGATTCATTACTGCACTCTGGTTGGCCCATGTGGTGATCCTCTTTACAGCCTGCCCCTCCGGGTGGTCTTGCCACCAGGACTGTTAATGGAGGCTGTCTGTGTAGGTGTGCAGCATGGACTGTAGAAAAACTCAAGCTGTTCTTAAATTTTTCTTTTTTACAATCCTGCCTCAACGGTCAAGTGACAAAGAGCCTTCTAGAACCTCTGGGTGTTTTCCTGAGTTTGTGATATTAGACCTAGAACAGTTTAAGGACTTCCGGAGCAAGGGCTGGAGGTGGTTCAGCAGTTAAACTGTCTGTTCTTCCAGAGGACCAGTGCTCAACACCCAGCACCCACATGAAGGCTTGCTTCCACCTTAATTCACCTCAGGGGCTCTGAAACCATCTTCTGCTGGGACCAGGCATGCAAGTGGTCCACAGTATGTATAGGAAAAGGGACCAGTCAAAGAAACACACCCTGAGCAGAGCCAAAGAAACACACTTTGGCCCTGCAACCAGAACCAAAGAAATGTTCCCTGACCCTGAAACCAGTGCCAAAATAACACACTTTGTCCCTGGCATCAGAGTCAGTGAAAGAAATGCACCCTGACCCTAAAATTGGAGTGAAAAGGCTAAAAAGGACCAGAGAAAGAAACACACTTTGGCTCTGAAACCAGAGGCAAATCTCACCCTAATCCTGTGCACAAAACTAGCCAATCCTTGAGCAGGAGCTCTAGCCAATCAGAGCTCAGCACTTAATCTGACCAATCCCCACCCTGGAAGCCCCATATAAACCGTGTGTCTGTTCAGCTTGTGGCTGTTCGTGCTACCCTGCTGTCCCCTGCTACTCTGGCAGAGGGCAGCCATTCCTCCGGATTCTTCCTTCCAATAAACCCCTTCAATGAGCTTTGGGTGAAAATCTTTTGTGGTGGCGACAGAGCAGAGGAGACCCTGGGCAGAGCAGAGCAGAGCTAGCAGGGTTGTAACCCTTTGGCCAGGGAAAGTTTCTCTTGGCAGAGCTCCAATCTGTGCTGTCCGCTCCCCAGGAGCAGAGCTGAACTGTAATAATTTCTCCCGAGAAACCTCCTGCCGAGCAAAACTGCAACACTGAGCGAACATCCTCAGCTGGAAGATGCTGTTCGGCCTGAGTGGAGCCCATACATTGGGAAAGCCTTTCCCTGAGGCAGGGCTGTAAGCTGCCATGCTTACTGCAACCTGTGGTGGTCCTTGGCTCCCGAGCTCCAGGATACCTTTCCACCTGAGCTGTGTAACACTAAATATTCTGTGACTCCCTAGTGCCAGAATATCTGACCCATCCAAATTCCACCTAAATGCCAACACAGTATACACGTAAGCCAAACGCCTGTGATGCTCGGGTCTCTGGTCCTTGGCAGCTGCATGATGTCTATCTGGTGACCGACGTTCTGTCTTCTTGTTCCCAAGTAGCTTTTTTGTTTGCTTTTTTCGATATAGGGTTTCTCTGTGGCTTTGGAGGCTGCCCTAGAACTAGCTCTTGTATACCAGGCTGGCCTCAAACCCACAGAGAACTGCCTGCCTCTGACTCCCAAGTGCTGGGATTAAAGGAGATTGCCACCACTGCCTGGTTCCCAGTGGATTTTGTAAGCTCCACTCTGCGTGGCTGGATGAACAGAGAGGGAATAGAATAGCCTCAGTCTAAGGATCCTTGGCAGATGGGAGAGAGGAGGTCCTAGTGGGATATTTCTTAGTGCTGAGCAGTGGCTTGCTCCTCTATAGCAAAGTGACATGCCTCAAGGCTGTTAACCCTTGCTTATGTCTAGTGTATTTGGTGGTTGTCATCCTGGGAGAGACTTTTTGGATGGGTTCCTCATTCCTTATTTGGCTATCGTAAAGGATCTCATTGTTTGTTGCTAGGATGGACCACTCCCTACATGGTGGTTTATGGTGGCATCTGTCCCACTGCCCCAGGCTCACCTGGCTCTCACCCTCTTTGAGCAGAGCTGGGGGAGGAGGAATCTTTGAAGACTGAGGAGTTGTATAGTTGCCTTGGCTCCTTGGCAAGGGTTGGGTGAGGTTGTAAGGGAGAAAAGTCAGCCCTTAGAAGGCACAGCACTTCAGACACTCAACTTCTTATGTTGATATTTTCATTTTAAAATAAGTTTATTTATACAACCTGGCCAAGCTTTCCTTTCCCTCTTCTACTCCCAGGCCCTTCCCCAGCCCTTCCCCAGTCCCAGTCTCCCCCATCCACTCCTCCCCTGTTTCTGTTTAGCAAAGGGCAGGTCTCCTATGAGAATAAACAAAACATGGCATATTTGATGCTGAATTTTACCCTCTTTTGTAAATAAATTGTGTCTCACATAAATAATAATTTATCATAGATATTGAATTTTATCAAATGCCTTTTCTGCATCCATGTAAATGATCATATGATTTCTGACTATGCGCCTATTTGCTGAATAACATTCATTGATTTTACTAAAATATATTGAACAATCTCTATGTCTCTGTAATGATGCTAGCTTGGTTGACGTACATGGTCTTTTTGATGTGATGTTGAATTCACTTTGCATTTTGCATCTGTGTTTATCAAGGAGACTGGTTAGCCATCAGCAATTTTCTTTTTCTTTTTGCGATGACTTTATCTGTTTTGGAATCAGGATAGTACTAGCTTCATAAAAATGCTCTAGACTACAGGGGACATTTCATTAAAATCAGGATAGAGATGTGTATACCCACTTTCTTCAATATATATCTTTTTTAAAAATCCTGAAACCTCGCACTGGGCGTTGGTGACGCCGACCTTCAATCCCAGCACTCGGGAGGCAGAGGCAGGCAGAACTCTGTGAGTTTGAGGCCAGCCTGGTCTACAGAGCGAGTTCTAGGACAGCCTCCAAAAACTACAGAGAAACCCTGTCTCAAAAAACAAAAAAGAAACAAAGAAAGAAAGAAAGAAAGAAAGAAAGAAAGAAAGAAAGAAGTAGTGTTGAAGTTCTGTGCTGTTCTGGACATTACCCAGCAGACTTCCTACTAAGCCACTCAGGCCCCGGGGTTTGCAGTCAAGACACACTGAGGTAAGGGAAATAGTCCCTGGAAGTTTAAATTACAGTATCACGTAAAAAAGTGACTTGAAGAACAGGGGACTACAACCATGGAAGGCTTTTTAACATGGATTGAGCGAGTGAGCCCATGGTTCATTACTGGGGGAGGCTTAAATGTCCCAGATTGGGAGGAGGTTTGCTATGATCTTCAGAGAGTCGGGTGTTGGTGGCATATGCCTTTAATCCCAACACTCGAGAGACAGAGGTAGGTAGGATCGAGGCCATCCTGGTCTATAGATTGAGTTCCAGGGCAGCCTCCAAAAGGATAGAGAGAAACCCAGTCTCAAAAAATAAAGGTAAAATAAGAAATAAAATAAAAAATCTCCAGTTTTTCACCTGATCCACTGAGGTCAGGAAAGTAAAGGGGAACTGAGAGATCTAAAAGGCTGGCCTGTAAGGCTATGCAAAAGTGTTAAAAAGGGGTACCAAGCTAGGTGTACCAGATTAAATCTCCAGGCCTTTGCCTGACAAAGGTCAGGAAAGTAAGGGGACCCTGAGAGATCGCCCTCAGAGCAACCATTGCTGAGGTCAAATGGAGACATCCATGCACTAGACAGTGGAGAAGACCCTAATTTGGGGTCGAGGGCATGTTTGTGTTTTCTTGCAGGAAAAGAATAAAGCTTTGGCACCTGTCAGACCATTTAGTGAGATGCATGGAGCAGAGAAAAACTGGACCTGAGACCATAGGAGCTTACCTAAGCCAGTTTGAGTGAGATCTCCTAAATCAGTGTTCCTGACCCTTGATGTCATCCAATCTACAGCCCGAGAAAGAAGGAAAACAGTCGGTTCTAGATTTCCAGTTTCTCAACAGGCCTGCTGCATCAACCTCCCGGACCTGTGAGTTTTCATCCCGAAGCCAACAGAGAACTGGAAAGACTAACTGTCTGCCCTTGACACACCTTGAAACAACAGAATTCATTTTGCCAGTTTTTCCCTTTGGGGGAAAAAAGGACCCATTTAAAACATTTGCACATTGGTATGGACTGTGATGAGTGGCAAAAGCCTCTTTTCAGTATTTGAACAGGACATGGTCACTTGAAATATCAGACTTGGTGGTTCCTGTTTCTGGAATCACACCTATGCCAGTGTATTTTTCTGGAGAAATGCAACTTGTCCTAATGTGACAAAAAGAGACCTTTGTCTCAAGTCGCATAGTCAGCTGAGGCTGGTGACTTTAAATCAACAAACTGCATCACCACAGGAACAAATTGGTGCTCTGTGGATAGTGCAACAAGCCTATTGTTCATATTTTTCATAATGCTACATGTGTAACATCAATGATTGTACCTAATGTATCTGTGCAGGTGCACTTTCTAAATGCTTTCCTGAGCAGATATTAGAACGATTGTAAACTTTATCACTGTTTTGACCATCAAATTGTAAATGTAAATCACATTCGGGTTACCCTTGTAACAGAGGAAGGCTGGTAGAATGTCACGTCCCAGACCGGGGGATAGGTATGGCGATGGAGAGGTGCTACGTCAATGGGGGTCCTGGAAATGGTGGCAGTGGCAGTAGGCATTCTGCTTTATGCCCGGTTTAAACGTGCCTTGTTCCATAGGAAACAGATCCATCACCAAGTATTGCTCAACTTAGCCCATGGCAATCCTGGTAGCCATGAAAGATGAGGTTCTCTGATGACGGTAACATGTGGGGAAGAGACATCCCGCCTAAGACAGGGGTTGCCAGGTTGCCCATAGATGGGTAAGGGAGAGTGACCCTACTTGACCTAAGACAGGAGTGCCTCATTAGAAAATAAAAAAGGGGGAAATGTGGGAACAACAGACCTTGGCCAGAGGCCCACTTCCCCATCAGCCTGGGAGCAGGCAGCTGTA